GGGGGAAAGGTAACAAGGGAGAGGAAAAAAAATATGAGAAACTGAAAAAATGGAAATAAAGTGTGTGTAAAAGGGGAGGGGAGGAGGGGGTGAAGGGAGGGCAGGGACAAGAGGAAAAAATGAGAATCAAGACCTATTAGGTAAAGGTACAGGATCCCAATGATGAATGTAACTCTATTGTATACCTAGATTGTACCAATAAACTTAATTAAAAAAAGTTCAAATGGGCTCAGATAATTACAGAAATATGTCATTTTTATGAATCTGAGGACTCAACATTAGAAACAAGGCAATTTTTCTCCAACTGACATATAGATTCAATGAAATCAAATCTGTAGGACGTGGTTCATAAAAATATAAATTGACAAATATATTCTAAAGTCTATATGGAAATGTAAAGAACCAAGACTAAGAAAGTTTTTAAGAAAAAGAACAGAGCATGAGTATCCATACTACTGAATTAAGTCTTGACGTGAAAGAGTTAGTCCAGGTTAGTAGCAGTACCAGCCCCACGACAAAGAAAAGCTGAACACCTGTTAGCTACTGCTGACTAACCAGTCTTTGCTGGACTCTGTTGAAACAACAGCCATGCCATTTTCCATGAGCCAAGGGTGAGCTGGGGTTGGCTGATGTAGGCTGGTAGCCACATGAGTGAAATGTCTATAAACTGTGAGCTAAATAAACCTTTCTCCCTTCAGCTTTGGCTGTCAGGTACTTTTGTCTCAGCAACAAGAAAAGTAACTAAGACAGAGGGTTAAAGAATTGGGCTTACAATGCAGATTACTATGAAGACTCACACATGTAGCTATATGATTTATTAAAAAAGTAAACTGCAGTGCAGTGTAATGGGTAATGCTTTTTAATTAAATAATAAATGATTTCACATTCACTTAGAAAAAACACTCACCCCCTACTCACATTACATGCAAAGATTAGCTCCATGTGAGTTTTGGATATATGTATGGCAAACCAAAAGAACTCCTAGAAGAAAACATAAAAAGTTTCTTCATGACCTTAGTATGTGTCTTGGCTTCTTTCTCGTCTCTGAGCACAATATCTGACACCCGCCACTTAAAGGAGGAAAGGTTCGTTGTGTAGAAGCTTCAGTCCATGGTCCCATGGCTCCAAGGCAGGGTGATATGGCAGAGGTGTGTGGAAAAAGAGGGATGCTCATGGGATGGCAGACAGGGAGCAGAGAGAGAGAGATCAAGGAAGGAGGGAGGGAGACGGACCCTTCCAGATCACATCCCCAGTGACGCACCTCCTCTGACCAGACCTTACCTCTCAACCTCACATTTAGCCACAAACTCATCAGTGGGCCAATCCTATGATCCAGTGGCTCCCAAAAGTCTCATCTGTGAACACATGAGGGTTGGGGGAACACCTCTACATAAGCTGTAAGGGTATGGGGAAAGACATTCTCAAAAGGAAACAACTTCAAGGGAAACTGCACAGAGAAGCTGACTGTCCTCCCCAGGCCTGCTCTTAGTCCAACAGTGACAGTTCCTGATCAGAAAACATTCCTCCTCAGTGAGAATTCTTTTTTCCAGAACCCAAGGCCTTTGAACTGAGCTGTATCCCCAACCCTTTTTCTTTTTCTTTTTTTACTTTGAGACAAGGTCTCATTAAGTCATTAAGTTTGGCCCTTTGTCTAGACAGGCTCCAACTTACTATTCTCCTGCTTCGGCCACTAAGACTTTTAATTACGGAGAGCAGCTTACTGTGAAAGCATGCCCCGGTGTCCTTAGCCATTCCCACGCCTGCGCAATTAAGCTGCTGTGATTTTTTTTTCATTATTATTAGCACAGCTGAAAATTTTGTGCACATCTCCGAATATTTTTTTTTCTTGAGATAATTCCTGAGAGTGGAATCACTCTTAGGATCAAAAGCATAGCAGCATACTTCAGGTTGTGGCGCCTGCTGCCAAGTTGCCTGCAGAACAGGTGCCCTATTCCATCATCTTCTAGCAGTTTCTCATGCTGACTGCCTCTATATCCCAACCAACCACCCAGGAACTCTCAGTATGTTCAAACGATTTGGTGCATACACTTTGCTTTAATTTCCCTTCTTTGCAATAGTCCTTCTGATGCTTTTCACCATTTGTCATGGTATCTGTCTCTGAGCTAGATTACAGAATCATGAAAGGTGGAGGCTGAGTTGCCAAAAGCAGGTCAAGACCCATTTTGGGGCCAAGAATTCAGGTGACAATTGTTTTGAGACTAGGTGAGTACAGTGTCCCAGTCACAAGGCAGATATATTTCTTACTGTGGGTCATGCTTTTAAAAAAGTGTGAAGACAGTCTTTCAAAACCTAGCCATGATCTAGAAACCAGAAGTGTTTCATCTATTTCATTATGAGAAGTGCAAAAAAAATAGGAAAATCAAACCAGGCTGAAGGGAGAGACTCCACCAGGCAGTGGAGGCTGGTGAAGAAGCAGATAGGCCTGGTATGAGTTCAGTGCAAGGCTGACATCAGGGTGGGCGCTAAGACACCTGTCCTGTCCAGGGAGAGCTCTGACTGTGGACATGGAAAATCCAAAGCCCCAAACCCAGTTATTTCCAAAGCTCCTAATGGAAATATTTTTCCACCCCTACAAGCACAGGAACATTAAGATCCAGTAATAGTACACACACAAACCTCCAGGGGAAAGGCTAGAGTTGGTTTTTTTTTTTTTCTGCTTTCTTAAAATTCAACATGCTAATGTAGAGCTCTATGAAGAAAAAAGCCCTTGGGACTTTGTAGATAAAAATGCTGAACAAAGAACACAACGGCACACAATAACGAGCCAAAGAAAAGGGTACTTCTCAGAATGCTACCATAAAGTGAAAACAGAGTCAAAGTAGCAAATCATATGTACAACGTGGCTTCCTCACTGGCTTTATTGCTATCTACCCAAGAGCTCCACGCTTGGCCCCAGGTCCCTTCCTCCTACTACATGTTGCTGTAGAGGACCCCACCTGCCACCTGGTGACTCTTACGTTCACACCTGAAGCCTGTGCTCCCTGAAAGTGGCAGTCCTAACGCTCAGCTGCCCACCTGGAAGCCTACGGATGGCTGGCTATGATTTCTCCCAGCGGACCTCTCTGAAGTAGAGCTCGGGATCCCCCAACACCCAACCTGATGTGCCTCCTCCCGACTTCCTGCTCAGCAAAGGGTAGCCTGTCTAGCAGCAGTTTAGGCCGAAATTCGGGAAGAGAGTATCCTGCAAGAGCACCCACCCTCACAGGCCTACCTACAGCATGTCCAGGCCTCTCCAACCAGTTTGTCTACAGCTGCCACTTTGGCCAGTCAATACACAGGGCTGGCCATCATGCCCATGCTTGCCTGTTTCCTTCAACACCTCCCACATCTGCTAGGTGGCATTAAAAAAAATCTATCTCTACACGGTCAGTACTCATATTTGAAGTACCCGGATTTCCTTCCACCACTGACCATGTGGCCGGCACGAGAGACACTTTTCCTGAGCAGGAAAGAGAGGAGAGAATTACAGCCCATGATGGAGTGCCACACACCTACAACCCATGAACTTCCTACCCTCCAGGAGAGACAGACAACTGCCCTGGGTTGTCCACTGTCTTCCCAAAGCTGTTCTTTCCAGGTGTTTTTTTCTCTTCCTTCATCTTCTTGGAAGCTCACATGCACTTTCTAAGGGCTTCTGAGTGGGGTGGGAGAAGGGGAAAAAAGGCAATGCCAGGGATGAAGGGACTCTGGGGCACGGGCCTGGCAGTTAGGAAGCCCATTACCCTCTTCCGCAGAGGCTTGCCGCCAACTAGTACAGGCTGTGAGGTCTTCAAAGCACTGGATGTCCTGCTCCAGCATCTCAGAAGATGGTCACAGGTGCTATTCCTCCAGACTAAGAAGTACTAAGCCCATGGCCCAGCTTTTCTTTTATTCATACACATGAGCTATACTGGCCCATTCTAGTCAGTTCATGTCTACTATGAACACTTCAGTGGGAAAGTCAGTGTCAATTCCAGGGATGTGCTATTCACAAAGCCTCTGAACTCCTGTGTCTTATACCTGTATGTGAGGGCTACCCCATGTGGCAGGGGTTCTCCCTTGGGTTTGAGACCACCACTGTGGCACTTCTGCTTGTAGGACCCTTAATCTCCCATCACTTGCCACTCCCCTCCCCAGAACTGTTTGTTCCCAGCCACCCTGAGAACTTTGGGGACTTCTAGGGCCAGACGTAGTGACATTCCCTCTAGGCAGAGGCTCTTGGCCCCAGGGAAGGTAGGGAAGGTGGGATGGGGATGCTGGGGGTCCAAGCTTGGGGGGCCCACCTTGCTCTTCTCTTGCTGCAGCTCGATCTGGATGTCCGTGAGCTTGGCTCGCAGCTCCTCATTGGCGGCCTGCAGTGCAGTGAGAGCCTCCACTTTGTCCCCCTTGGCCCGGCTGCCTGCGCCCTTCTTTGACATGGTGAGGCTGGGTGGCCAAAGGGGCACACAGGGGCAGATGCTCCGTCTAGGCTGGGGTGTCCACACCAAGCTCCTGGCAGGTGTCGCCTCAGCTGTCACTCCGCTACATTTTCTCACTCACCTAAAGGAAAAGCACACCTGAGTGAGCAGATTGTACGCAGCTGGTGTCCGCAATGGTGTATCAGCCAGAGAGGGTGGACCTAGAGCTCAGAGGGGCTCATGTGTTGGGGTGAGGGGCACTGCAGACGTCTCACTGGCCCCCACACTGAGGAACCAGCTCCGGACCTCAAGGTTCAGCTTCCTCCACACAGCACTCCCAAAAGGGACTTCATACATAACACATAATGAGCATCCAATATGTGTTAATTCTTGGACTTTTAGGAATTAGGGCACCTGACTTCAAACCCAGAATTTTGTACAGGGGTGAGGCACATGATGGAAATAGTGGATATAAACCATAAGCTGATACAATGTGGGTAATAGTTGATATAAACTATAAGCTCCTGGATGGCAGAGTGGAAGGCCGTGACCCCAGGCTTCTCCCAGAACCTACAAACTTTTCCCAAGAGATACTGAAAAATAAATAAAAGCAGGGTCTTGAAGAAATCTTTGCCCATCTGTGTTCAGAGTAGCATTACTGACAAGAGCTAAGAGGTAAAAGGAAACCCAGTGTCCACTGATGGATGAGTTGATAAGCAAAACATGCCCCCAACTATACAAAACAATATTAAGGGACATGAAACACTAAATAAGCACTAATACAATTGGAGTGGGGGACCTAAATACCCCACTATCACAAATAGACAGATTATCTAGACTGAAAATCAACAACAAAATGCTAGAACTGAACCAAGGTTTTGAACAAATGGACTTAATAGATGTCTGTAGAGTGTTCCACCCCACAAAATCAGAATATATAGTATTTTCAGCTGCATATGGATCATTTCCCAAAAGACCATATCCTAGCTCATAGAACATATTTAAGTAAATGCAAAGGAATTAAAGTTATCCCCTGTATATTATCAGACCATAGTGCAATTAAACTGAAGGTCAATAGCGTAAGAAACCGTAAGAACTTCACAAACACATGACACTCTCCTGAATGACACTCTCTTGAACAAACAATGGGTCACAGCAGAAATTAAAGAAGAAATTAGACTGTTTTTACAATTTAATGACAATGCACATAGGAATCTATGGGATACAATGAAAGCGTTTTATGTGGGAAATTCACAGCAGTGAATGCCCACACTAGGAAAACATAGTGAGCTCAAATAAACAACCTAATGATGAATCTCAAGCTCCTAGAAAAAGAAGAGCAAGACAAACCCAAAGCTCATACAAGGGAGGAAATTATAAAGATCAGAGAAGAAATCAATGCAATGGAGACTAAGAGAATGATACAAAAAAATCAACGAATTGAAGAGTTGGTTTTTCAAAAGAATAAATAAAACCAATAAACCATTAGCCAACCTTATCAAAAAAAGGAAAGAAAAGGCTCAAATTCATGTAATTAGGAATGAAAAGAGAAGTCACAACATATCCAGCAGAAATCCAGAGGATCATCAATACTTACTTCAAGAATGTGTATGGTAATAAAATGGAGAAAATGGAAGAAATGGACAGATTTCTAGATACATATGAATTACCAACGATGAATAAGGAAGATATAAAAATTCTAAACAACCCAATTACAAATCAGTGAAATTGAAAATGTAATTAAAAATTTACCAACAAAGAAAAGCCCAGGTCCTGATGGTTTCACTGCTGAATTCTACAAGACATTTAGAGAAGAACTATTGTCACTACTCTTTAAATTTTTAGTGAAATTGAAAGAGAAGCAATACTTCCAAATTCATTCCTGGAAACAAGTGTTACTTTGATTCTAAAACCAGGGAAAGAACTAACCAAAAAAGAGAACTACAAGCAAGAGAACATGGGTGAAAAAATCCTTAATAAGATGCTGGCAAACAGAATATAGAGGGTCATCAAGAAGATTACACATGCTAACCAGGTCGGATTTATCCCAAAGATTCAAGGATGGTTCAACATATGTAAATCAATAAATATAATACACTATATTAACAGAATCAAGAACAAAAACCATACGATCATCTCAATAGATGCAGAAAAATCATTTGACAAAATTTAACACCTGTTCATGATAAAAACCTTGGAATGGATTGTCTTTATCTCAACTTGATAAAGGCTATCTATGAAAAACCTCCAGCCAACATCATAAGAAATGGTCAAAAACTGAAAACCTTCACGCTAAAATAAGGAATAAGACAATATTACCAGTCATGTTCAATATAGTTTTGGAAACATTAGCCACAGAAATTAGACAAGAGAAAGAATGAAAGCAATAAAGATAAGAAAGGAAGAAGTGAAACTGTCATTATTTGCTGATGATATGATACTCTACATAGAAGACCCAAAGAACTCCACCAAAATATTTCTAGACTTGATTGACAGATTCATTAGAGTAGCTGGATATAGGGTAAATACTCAAAACTCAATAGCCTTCTTGTACACAACAGACTCACTGAGAGTGAAAATAGGGAAACAATCACTTTCATAATAGCACCCAAAAAAATGAAATATCTAGGAATTGATGTAACAAAACACTTCTACATTGAGAACTACAACACTCTGAAAAAAAGAGATTGAAGAGGATATAAGAAAATGGAAAGACATGCCTCATTCCTGGGTAAGAAGAATCAATATAGTAAAAATAGCCATACTTCCAAAACTGTTGTACCGATTCAATGCAATCCCTACAGAAATTCCAACAGTATATTTCATAGAATTAGAGAAAACAATCCAAAAATTCATTTGGAATCAGAAGAGACCTAGAATAGCAAAAGCTATTCTAGGCAACAGACACATGATGGGGGTATCACAATCTCTAACTTGAAACTATATTACAAAGCCACTGTAATAAAAACAGCATGGTACTGGCAAAGAAACAGACCCGAGGATCAATGGAACAGATTAGAAGATGCAGAAACAACTCCTGACATACTCAGCTACCTCATATTTGACAAAGGAGCCCACCATTCTCACTGGAGGAAAGACAGACTGTTTAATAAATGGTGTTGGAAAAATCATATTTCAACTTGTCAAAGATTAAGATTAGATCCATGTGTTTCACCATGCACTAAACTAAAATCCAAGTGGACTGAAGATCTAAATAATAAAACAGAAACACTAAACTTACTGGAAGATATGTTAAGTAGAACTCCCGAAGACACTGGCATAGGAAAAGACTTTATGAACAAATCCTCAGCAGCACAGAACTAGGACAAAGCATCAACAATTGGGATCTCATTTTTTTTTTAAAAAAGCTTCTGCACTGCCAGAGAAATTGCAAGCAGAGCTAAGAGACAACTTACAATGTGGGCAAAAAATTTTACTAGCTTTTCCTCAGACAAAGGTCTACTATCTAGAATATATAAGGAACTAAAAAATATAAAGACCTAATTCAAAAATGGGCATCTGAAATGAACAGACATTTCTCAGAAAAAGAGGTAAAAGCAGCAAATAATCACATGAAAAAATGTGCAACATCACTGGTCATTTGAGAGATGCAGATGAAAACAACACTGAGATTCCACCCCTCCCCAGAAGGAATGACTGCTATCAAGAAATCAACCAATAACAAATGTTGGAGGGATTGTGGGGAGAAAGGAACCCTTCTTCACTGTTGATGGGAGACCACTGTGGAAATCAATATAGAGATACCTCTAACAACTGGGATTAGAAGTCCCATTTGGCCCAATTATCCCTCTGCTGGGTATCTTCCCAAAAGAATTAAAAAAAAAATCATTCCAGAGCAATATATGCTCACCCATGTTTACAGCGGTACAGTTTGTAATAGCTAAAATTTAGAAACAGCCCAATTGCCCATCAACTAGAGACTGGATAAAGAAGATAAGTGTTTTTTTAAAAATAAAATGGAGGGAGGGCATGGACAAGGGGAAAAAAAATGAGAACCAAGACCTGTCATGTAAAGGTACAAGATCCCAATAATGAATGTAATTGTACTGTATACCTTAAATGTACCAATAAACTCAATTAAAAAAATAAAATAAAATGGAGTACCACTCAGCCAAAAAATATGAGAAACTAGAGAGATTTATAGCTAACTGGATGTACATTGAGGCCATGCCCTAAAGTGAAATTAATAAGTCAGGTGTGTAAATACTGAATAGTTTCTCTGGTGTGAAAAAGTAAAAATGTACATAAGGATCAAAATTTATAATTGATATTGTGTTGGGGCCAGGGATTTAGCTCAGTGGTTCTGCCACCTACCTCAAAAGCACAAGGACCTGAGTTCGATCCCCAGTACCAAAAAAAAAAAAAAAAAAAAAAAAGAGAGAGAGAAAATTTATAATTGATATTGTGTAATAGGAAGAAAAGTCTAAAAGAGTAGAGGAAGTGGGAAGGGTAGGGGAAAGGTAAAGTGAGAAAAGAAAAAATATGTGAAAAGGAAAAACATGGAAACAATGTCTTTGTAAATGAAGGGTGGAGGGGCTGAAAGGAGGGCTGAGGAATGGGGAAAAATAAGAACCAAGATAATCATGTAAAGGTACAAGACCCCAATGATGAATGTAACTGTACTGTATACCTAAAATGTACCAATACATTTAATAAAGATTAAAAAAAACGTGGTGTGTTCATATGATGGAATGTGACTTGTCACATGGATGAACCTTGATGCCATTATGCTAAATGAAATAAATCTGTAACCAAACAATTTAGTGCTGTATAATGCCACTTAGGTGAGGTATCTAAAGTAGTCAGACTCATAGAAACAAAAAGTAAAACGGAGGCTTGCAGGAACTGAGGGAGGAGGAAATACAGAGTTGTTTAAAGCGGGTAAGGGGTTTCAGTTTTAGAAGACGAACAATTCCCTTCTCCCAGCTGCCACTCTCCTCCAGCTCCCCCTCTCCTAGCAGTCCTTCCTCCCCAGGTGCTCCTCATCCTCAGCTGCATCCCCCTAGTTGCTTCTCTCCTTTAGTAGCTCCTCTTTGTTGCATGAAGGGCAAGAATGTGGGGGACTGCCCCAGTGATTATGCACAAAGCAGGCTGTGAGCAATGCAGGCTGGAAAGAGTGAA